CATTTTTACCTATAAATTCAGCTGTATTTTCCATCACAACTTCTAAAGTTTAAGGATATCTTAAAAAGTTTTTTTGTGCATGGTATGAGGAAGACATCTAATTTTCTATGTTCCCTTCTCTTTTTTCTTGGCTGCATTGAATAAATAGTTGTACCATTGAGCCTGTCAATATGAAATTTACACTCGTGTGTATCTGCTTTGGAGCTCTCTATTCAGCTTGATGGACCGTTTTCTCTATTCTTGCACTAACACCATATTCTCTTAAATACTTCAGCCTAATAAAAAGATCTTCGAGAAGGATAAGTTCCCCCTCCTTTCTTTTCTCCAAAAATGCCTTGGTCATTCTTCATACTTTGCCACATAAATTCCTAAATCAGTCTATCAATTCCAGGAGAAACGTTGGGACCTAGTTTAGAGATGCACTAAATCTATATACAGATCAACTTGGAGAGAACTGATACTTTTTAAAATATTGCCTTTCTACTCATGAACATAGTCACTCTAATCCTCCTTAACGTCTTTAGCAAAGTTTTATAACTTTCTGTACACAAGTCTGGCACATATTTGCTTAGATTTATTACTAGGCACTTTAGAATTATTTTTACAAAGGTTTGGTGTCTTTTTAAAAGTTCTATTTTCTAATTGTGGCTGGTGTATTAGAAGTACAATTCACAATTGTATATTGATTCTATATTTAAACACCTTACTAAACTCTAATAATTTGATGGAAGACTTTTTTGGATTTTCTATGTAGATAATCACATCATCTGCAAATAATGATAGTTTTACTCTCTCCTTTCCAATCATTATACTTTCATTTTTCTCATCTTACTGCACTGGATAACACTTCTGTTACGAGGCCATATAAAAAGTGAAGACAGTGATCATCCTGTCTCATTAATGTTAATGAGTGTGCTTCTAATATTTCCTCCCCCTTAGGATGGTAGTATTATAGGATTTTTGTAAATTTCCTTATGAGGTTGAAAAGTATTCTTCCATTTATAGATTACTAAGAGCTGTTACTATTAATAGGTATTGATTTTATCAAATGTTTTTCTGCATCTATTAATCAGATGATTTTTCACCTTTATTCTACAAATGCAGCAAATGAGATTTATAAATTTTCTAATATACCATCTTTGCATTCCTAGGATAAATGCCACTTGGCCAGTGTGTTAGATTCAGTTTGCTTTTGCATATATGTTAATGACTAGAATGGACCTATAATTTTCCTTTCTTGCATTGTCCCTATCTGATTTTACTATCAAGGTTATATTGGTGTTGATGTAGGAGATATCTTACTCTATTCTCTCAAAAAATTTATATATTAGCATAATCAATACTTTAAAATTTGGTAAAACCATCTAAGCCTGGTTTTTTCTTTGTGGAAAAATTTTTTAACTTCTTTTAATAGTAAAATATAGTACTGTTCAGGTTTCTGCTTTCTTCTTAATCGAAACTTTTTCTAGGATTTTTTCCATTTTGCCTAAATTTTCAAGTTTATTGGCACGTTGTTTATAATATTTTTATCTAATATCTGCAGCATCTGTGGTGACATAACCATTTTCATTCCCAATATTGGTTATCTGTGTTTTTTCCTCCATGATAAACTTGCCAGAAATTTTTGTCTATTTTGCTAATCTTTTCAAAGAGTCAACTAATAGCTTTGTAGTCTATTAATTTGTTTTCTATTTATTCCTGCTCTTATCTCCTTCAACTTTACCTTTATTGCATTTTACTATGTACCTTCTTTAATTGGACACTTAACTCATTTTAAAAATTTAAGGACCTAAATGTTATAAAATTTCCCTTAAGCATAACTTTCTTTGCATCTTGTAAGGTTTAATATTCATTATTCAGCCCTTAGAATTTTTAAATTTATTTCTATTATTTTCAATTTTTTTACTGTCTTCTTAGTGAATCCGATTTTTAGCATTATGTAGTGCCCATCTCAATCCCTATTTTTTTTTTGTTTTGTTTTTATTTATTCAGCATTTATTTTATAGGGCATTTGGGATTTTTTAATTTATTCAGGATATTATGGGGGTACAAACATTTTGGTTACATGAAATTTTGCCCCACCCAAACCAGGGCTACAAGTGTGTCCCTCCCCCATAAAGTGTGTTCCGCTTCCATTAGTTGTGGGTTTACTCTCCGCCCCGCACCCCAACTGGCACCCAGTATTACTACCATGTGAACCCCTTAGTGTTGGTTGGTTAGTACCAATGTGATGGCGAGTACCTGTGGTGCATGTTTTCCCATCCTTGTGATACCTTGCTTCAAAGGATGGGCTCAATCTCTATCCAGGATAATCAAACAGGTGCTAGATCAGCGTTGTTTTTTATAGTTGAGTAGTATTCCATGGTATACATATACTACATTTTATTAATCCACTCATGTATTGATGGGCACTTGGGTTGTTTCCACAACTTTGCAATTGTGAATTGTGCTGCTATAAACATTCAAGTGCAGATGTCTTTATTATAGAATGTCTTTTTTTCCTTTGGATAGATGGCTAGTAATGGGATTGCTGGATCAAATGGTATTTCTATTTTTAGCTCTTGGAGGTATCTCCAAATTACTTTCCACAGGGTTTGTACTAATTTGCAGTCCCACCAGCAGTGTAAGAGTGTTCCAATCTCTCCACATCCACGCCAGCATTTGTTATTTTGGGACTTTCGATAAGGGCCATTGTCACTGGAGTTAGGTGATACCTCATTGTAGTTTTGATTTGCATTTCCCTAATGATTAGAGATGTTGAGTACTGTTTTACATGTTTGCTGGCCCTTAGTCTGTCTTCCTTTGAAAAATTTCTGTTCATGTCCTTTGCCCATTTATTGATGGGGTTGATTTTTTTCTTGTTGATTTTCTTACGTTCTAAATAGATTCTTGTTATCAGCCCTTTATCAACAATCCCTAATGTTTTTTGTCTTAATCCACACCAGTTTTCTTCTGGTATTTTCCTGATATCTTTTTTCCTTCCTTTATTTTCAAACTTTCCATGACTTTATGCTTTATGTATAAGTACATTTTTAATCCAATTTGACTATCTTTTCACAAAATAAACTGACGAGTCTATCTTGTCATCTTACACCATTTCACCTTTTTTATTTCCATGTCACACTATTTTTCTACTTGGTCATCTTTTTGTATGTCTCACTTTTAATAAATATCTCTATTTTCCCTCTAACAATATGAACTCTAATATATCCTCACGCTCTCTGGTCTCTGCCCACTGCCATTGTGTTGGTACTGTAAAGAATTTTAGTTCTGGATTATTATGGACATACACTGTGTTCTTTATTGTCTTTAGTTCTCATTTTAACTCTCAGTCAGCAACAAGCTTTCCCTAAGTATATGGCTATCTTTCTTTCAAATCTCAGTTATCTCTTTTAAGTCCAGAGTTATCTCTGGACTTCTCTTTTTTAATACTTTCTCTAAAAGTATTTTTAATTTGTTTCTTTGTGTGGAAAATCTTCTAAAAGTCTTCAGAATATTTTTATCATGCCCTCACATTAGGATAACTTTACCAGGACATTAAATTCCAGATTCAAACTTTTTCTCAGGTTCAATTTCAGATTCTTGAGCTGGGCATAGTAATGATGGGTTTTACCATACCATATTCAAATGTCCTTTTGTCTGTGGGCTCCCATCCAGCTTCATGGCTGAGTATTCTACAGGTAAGGTTGACCAAACCTCTGAACAGGACTGAAAAAAGTCATCCTCAGAAAACCAGCTCTCTCACATACTACTGCTGTCAACATAAATTGGTTCGACTTTTCTAGAGGTCAATCTAGCAATGCAGATCAAACATTGTAAAATCCATGTACATGGCTCAACAATTTTACTTCTAGGAAATAATCCAACAGTGTTCAAAGAAGTACACATAAGGATACTCATCACAGCATTATAGTATGAAAAAATACTGAAAATAACGTAATCTCCAAACACAATTAGTTAAATTATGTTAAAATTCCATAATCAACATACAGTGATAAGGATGTGTAGGTTTATCAGCAGGGGAAAAATTATTTTTTAAAAAAGCAAGAAAGTCTTTTTGTTTCAGAAATATGCATATATAGGTAGAAAATATCTGAAAGCTGAAAGGGTATTTTCCAAAAATATTATCAGTAGCTTTCTCTAGATGGAGATACTGAAGTGGTTTCTCATTTCCTCTTTTTGTTTTTCTACACTTATTTCTACCATGAACCTCTTTGCTTTTATAAATAATTTTAGTAAATAGTTTCTCCCCAGTATAACTCAATGGAAATCAAACAGGGGAGAGGCAGAGGAGGGGCTGGGCAAAAACCTGCCTAATGGGTACAATGAACACTATCTGGGTGACAAGCACACTTATAACCCTGACTCAAGCATTACAAAAGCGATCCGTGTAACCAAAAACATCTGTACCCCCATAATACTTTGAAATTTAAAAAAAAAAATAGTTTCTCCCCATGAGTCAGTTTTACAATTTGGAACTTACAAATCAAGTGGTTCTATCATCAGCGTATACCATTCTTTCAACCACATCCTTTCGAATCTCCTTGACACACATCAATCTCGTTTATCTTTATATCCCTCCAATGCCATTGTAGTGCTCAATATGTTGCATCAAGACGTTCAAGAATATATCCCTGGGATAAACTGTGACTGCCTTCTATCTGTTATATTTAACAAATCACCATAATAAAGGGATTCTTTAAATTACAAGGAGCACAATGATTAAAACATTAACTTTCAAACTTTTTAGCAGAAGTCATTCTTCAAATAAAATCTTTTTTGAAGCCCAATATACAAAACAGACAAAAATGGAACAATTCTAGTGATGGAAAGCACGGAAGTTGAGTCCTGTCCACCCAGCCTTCTTCCTTGCCTCTTACAAGGAAGCTGCTGTGCAATTTGAAAATTACTATTTAATACATTCTGCTGACCCTAAATGCCACGTCAGAGCTAGAAAACACACACACACATTCAATCTAACATTTATTTGTTTTCTTTTTGCAACTATAAATTACAATCACTAGTACACCTGTAATTCTTAGTGTGTTCAACTAAAGAATAAGCACACACAGTGTAAGTCAGTTTAAAGAAATCATAGTGCTTCTTAGAGTAATTTGCAAAAGGGATAAAGTCTTGGGCCCACTCCTTGGAAATATCAAGTAACCATAAAAATATTCAGCTATTTTTCAGTTATTCAGGGAGGTTCATGCATGGTCCCACGGAGAGCATCAGAGTTCCTCTTTGAAATATCCCAGCTTTGCCAATGACATCTCTTTCCTCAACTGCATAACCTCCCAAAACATCTGATCAACTATACAAACAGAAAAGAGAAAGACATTTAAATCATAAAATACTATCTTAATTACTCTTAATATTTTGCTGAAATTTTAAGATTAACTGATGCCAATTAGGCATTTCCTAATGATGTACCTAATGCCCATTCTTTGATATTTCATACAAACTCCTCCATGTACCTGTGAGCATCCCAGTTTTATCAGTAAATAAGCAAGATTTAACAGTTTCGTCAAAATTATGTTAGATACATCAAAAACTATCATTTTAGCCCAAAAAAGGTAGACATTTCAGTGTCCTGAGTAAATGGCAATGCTGTTGTTTCATAAGCGAGTATACTCAATGCTCATTATTCAAGAGTTATTACCTAACTTATGAATCTTCTTGCTCTAGTTTGCTTTTATACTTGGCTATTTTACTCTTCACTAACACTAGCAGAGCATGAACAAGAAACCAAGAAAACAAGAGACAATCCAGAAAACTCAATATTCTTTGTAATAACATGGAAAGGTTTTTATGTATGGCTCAAACTAGAAATAAAAATAAATGTAGTGGATCTGTAAATTTCAATTATCTATACTTTTGTAAGCTCCTACTCTAAGGGAAAAAAGTTGGCTCTATACTTCAGATAATAAAAGGTCTTCATTTGATTTATCATCAGATTAGATTCATTTAGATCAGTAGTTCTCAACCAGGAGATATTTGCCCCCCAGGAATTTGGCAATGTCTGGAAACATTTTTCACTGTCACATTTGGGGGTTGCTACTGACATCTAATGAGCAAAGGCCAGGATGCTGTTAAACATCCTGCAGTG